ATTATTTTTATGGTGGGATGTTTATTGGCGATTTTATTGCAACACAGCCTGGAAGCCTACAGATTTCCACTCTGTACCATAAAAACTGATGGTGTGAATTGTGACCAGTAAACCTTTTTAAACTGTAAAGTTTTCAAGTGAACATATATTACCATCCTCAGGACTCATTTGTGTTTTAATGTCAGTGTAAATTATGCAAAATTGCAGGTAATGTGCTTTAGATTTAGATTTTTTAACCCGACTCTTGTGAAGCTAACAGCTTGAGCGCGGAAGCAGAAGCACTCAGCTCAAGAGGAAAAAAAGGTGCAGCAGAGGCACATTGATTTTTATTTTCTGGTGTTAAAAAGCTATTATTGACATGGCATTTTCTCACTGGAAAGGTTAGAGGAGAGGAGAGAAACGCAGAGAGATGCAGGCCTGGTGCTGCCAGGGAATTCACCTCATTTAGTTGAATTTAGTGCTGATGTCATTCTTTCACAGTGAAAATTATGTCCTCAGCTTAAAGCACAGGACTGAGAGACGAGAATCCAGGATCTTGACGGCACGTGAATTCACTTATTTGTTGATGGAAAAAAAAAGGGAAGAGCAGAATGAGAACAATGAAGCTCCACGGTTCAGACACATGGATTAGAGCAGTCTGGAACTCTTCGTCACCTCTAAAGTATTGCTCATAATGATAATCCTGTCATGAAAGATCATAATTTCTCCATAAAACGTCATAAAGCTTCGCAGCGGCTTGGTCTCAGGAGAGCCAGACGACGCCTTGTTGCTGACACAGCTCTAAATCACCTCATTCTCAGCCGTCCTCTTGCACATCCCTCTCCACCCTCCCTGTATTGAAAAGATAAATATACTCACTCTATATCCTTGTATTCATACTTTTTATTCTGTCCTTTAACCTATTTATCATAATTGTGGGTGATTAATGAAAAAACAAAGCATGAAGTATCTTTAACACTTGCTTAAAAAAGGTCTTGGTTTACCTACATGTGAGGATCAAACACTTTCTACATAACCTTAATGTCTTACTTAAAGCATGAATGAGTATTATAGGGGCCAAGTAATTTAATTGCAGGTTTGGCAGCCGAAATGTCAAAGGGTATGTAACTGAATCTCTAATGTCTCTACTAAATTAAATGACAGTCCATGACATCAATTCATTTACAAATGGATTTCACTCTCATATGCCGATTTACTAGTAGGTTGAGTCGAATAGACCTGGGTCACCTTCATCGATGTGCAACTTAATGGGAAGACAGGGATCAATAAAAAGAAACATATGTCAGTCAAGTCAATAGACGTTTCAGCCTGGACCAAAGCAGGACTCTGACTCTGAGTAGACCAAAGAATAGATGAAATTAATCTATTTTATCCTATGATAGTACATATAAAATAGGGGGTTTGTACAAAAACAATATGAATGTTTAGACATGGAGAGGTTTCTTAGGCAATTAGATTCATAGCTTTGTTTTATTTTAACACCTGTAAACTTAGGAAAACATGCATCAAAAATAATTATATAATTAATCTTTATAAATCAATGCAGCTGTCAACTAAAGTCCAACTGGGAATCTGTTCAAACTGTGTTCATAGAGATGGTTTAACTTTCCTCCGACGTGTGTAGATGTGAGGATTAGTTTTAACATCACATTGACAACATGACATAAAGAATAAAAGTGATTCTTCATACAATGCCGTGCACAGAGTCTATTGAACCTCGCCGGTGCTTTAAGATCTTGTGCTAAATCCCTAAAATTAACAGGTCGTCTCATCCCATCTGTTGGATTTCTGTACTGGATTTCTGCTGTGATGCAGAGCTCCAGAAACATCCTGGAGCATCGTGTCCAAAACGACACCATCAACACATCCAACAGGGTTTGTAATTAATCTTCACCACTGAGAAAACACTCTGGCCTCAGAGAAAGGTTTAGCTCCTATTATTACACCAAAACTCCGACACACACACACACACACACACACACACACACACACACACACACACACACACACACACACACACACATTTTATCCTGCAGGCATTTGCACAGCTGTGTTGTGTTCCTCATTACACCCTCTGACAGCAGAGTTGGAAATGATAGATGTCTGCTGTCCGCTGATCATGACAGGTGCTTCAAACTGTGCAGCAAGACAGATTAAGGTGGAACAAAGCAAAGCACCTGTTTGGTCCAATGAATAATTGAAACGGTCTTCACGTGAGAGTAATCTCTGCTGCAGATATTTTCTACAAATGCCTTGCAGTGTCGTGAAAAAGTATTTGCCCCCTTCCATGTTTATACTGTAATGGAGTAAATGAGGCCTGCGGGGGTTTATTTGCTCTGACTGCTTTGACGAACTGCTAGATGAGATATCGAAGTGCTCTTGGAGTAATTAAGATCGACTATCAACTCCTCGGAAGGTTCTGTGGTTCCCAGGTATTTGTGCACGTTAAGGACCAAAGATGACGGAAAATACTTGAGAACCCCTCAAAAAACACTTATAACTGCCCATTTTAATAGTTCAAACACCAGTTATATAAACATGCATTAATTCATAGCATTACCACAAAAGCTAAAGCCTATAATGTTCCTTACTCTTGGCCAATCAACACTGGCAAAATAAACGGCCCTCCTGGATACCAGCCAGTAGCGTCACGTAGCAACGCACCAAACTATTTCAGCTTCTCAAGCTGCATTTTCCTGCGACAGACTGGCGACCTGTCCAGGGTGTACTCTGCCTCTAGCCTGGAACGATAGCTGGAGATAGGCACCAGCAACCCTCCCGACCCCACTAACGGACAAGGGTGTAGAGAAAATGGATGGATGGATGAAGCTGCATTTTCTTTTGAATATTTTGAAGAAATCTGCAAGCTGACTGTAAAGTGACTAAAATCTGCTTCATCTTGACCAAATACGATGACAAAGCCTGACTTTCAGCATCTTTGCTGAAATGATCATGCAACATCAACCCATAATGTTTTATGGGAGGTTTGGAAGGAGGAGTTGAGTTCTCCAAATATAAGTATGCTTCCTTGGGGATATTTACGGATATTCATAAATGAAAAGCTAATTCATTAATTCACTGTCTGCTAGCTTGAACCTTCAATGTCCTCTAAAGCAGTTATGACTAATGAGATTTCTGGCACTCTGGGCAGCTGAGCAGCATTTTCCCCTCAGCTAGTGATGCTATCGAATCTGTTAGCTTTCAAGTTAATGTAGGTTTTTGCCACCAACAAAATATGCTAATCAGTGATGTGCTATTCACTGTCAACAAAAGTATGTATTTTAGCCGTAGGCTCTTCATATTTCGAAATTGCAGCAACTCTAAACAACAACAAAACCCCCCTACCAAATTATGTTTTTATTTAATCTAGAAGCTTCCATCCTCTTTCATACACTGCTTACTGGTGATTATATTTGATTTGACATGAAATATAAAAAGACTCCTCATATACAACACCAGATTGCACCGTGTGATTGTTTAACATAAACTAATCCAAAGTGCAGAAACAGAAAACAAAGCAAACATGGCAAAACAACATCTTGTAAAACCAGATTTTGTAGCAATAATCTGGAATAGCCATCCCATCCTGTGTATGACTGTATGGACATTGTTGTGAGGGAGTTTGCACATTTGTTTTTGCACAATTTCTATCATTTAAACTAAGTAGATTTCTGGTCTTATTGCTGGTCACTACAACAAATTGATTCTTTTACTTTTCATTTAAAGGGGCAATATTATGTTAAATTTACTTTTTTGAGTTTTACATCATGTTATAATATTAGTCCCTCATCAAAGTCATACCTGGAGTGCTTCCTTGATTGTTTCATGCATTTTTGAGAAATTCTTTAATCTCCATGGCAACCATTCAGCTGTACAAAACACCTGGGTGGACCTAGCCCCACCTTAAAGACGCAGCTCCACCTCAGAGCTGCAGTTTCCAAGCTTCTGAGCTTTCGCTTCATAGAGCATCCCTCCTCTTTAACTCCCGCATTCATTCCCGTCAGATTCACCAGCAGCAACTATCAAACACCTGGTGGAACTGCCACCTGCTGAGCTCATCATACGAGCTTCTTCTCAGTGCAACATTGGTGAAAACATTGATAAAGGGTTAATAGAAGAGTGATGTTGTGACAACTTCCTTAAGGGGGAGTTTCCAAAGGAGAAGAAGTTTTTAAAGAGACACAGCCCCAATTTCAAGGTGATAAATTACTAAGTAAATTTTCTTTTAAGTCATATATGATATGCACATAGAGCATTTTTATGGCAACTTAAGTTAACATTGTTACTTGATTATGCTGTAAAATGGCACCTGGAAAACACACAACATTGCCCCTTTAATAGCTGTTCTAAAGATTGTGGCATTAGCCAATTTAGCTGTCTGAGGCATGCTTTTGTTTAAAATGTTAAATATTTTAGCATACAGAGAAGGTCATGGTCATCCAAGTAAGGTGGAAATTGGTGGCTGTCTTTAAATGTTTGCAGCCACAAATAATCTTCTTCATTATAGCATAAGTGAGCTTAAACTGTTTGCCAGCAGCTGTAAAATTCATCCTAGATTGATGTGCAGCTATAAAAACACAATCACTTCTCTAAAGCACTCAGGCATGCTGATGATCTGGTGATCAATGCATATGAGTAACAGCACACCGGTGCTTCTTACCTTCTTTATTTCCACAATGAACTGAAAGCAGAGGCACAGCAGAGGCATGCTTTATCCAATGCAAACTGACTTTTAGCTTGGGTTTAAAAAAAAAAAAAAAAAAAAACCTCAAAAAGCTACGTCACTACCATGATGTTCTTTTGAGTTTGCTTTTATGTTATTTCCTTCATTGCATGTAAACATCTGATGACAGTAGTACCTCTATCATGTGCAAACACAAAACCAAAGATCCTAATTAAATGAAAATGTCTTGTAAGCAGACTTGCCATCTTTAAGACTAAAATAGAGACATTTGTTTCCAGTACTTACATTCAGCCAGCAGAAACCATCTGAAATCCGTCCTTCTCTCTATTTCTGAGTCTTTCTGAGAAGATTACAGGAAGTGCAATAGGAAGTGAAGTGAAGTTGCTCTGTATAACAAACCCGCTCAGTCGCCTTCAACGGCACAATCTATGAACGAAAATCATTAGAGGTCCGTGAAGACTGCGAGAGAGACACTGATGGGTGCAGACCTGATATGAACACAGAAGATTGCGTGTCTGAACGAGGAAGGGGTTTCTGCGAGCCACATGTCAGTGTGGCTGGTGTGAACCAATGTGTGTGACCTGATTGTACAACCATGGCAAGAGCTGCTGTGACTAAACTTCTCCTTCTGGTTTTCCTCGCATTCATCATCTGCCTGCCAGAGTTATTCAGGATATACTCAGGTGGGTCAACCAGAACAACTTGAACTGAACACTTTTCACTCTGTCCACATGCCTCTCTGTACTGGATCAAGTCAGATCCACTTCTTCATCTGCTCAAAGCTAACATCAAAATTTTTTTTTTGTGTTCCTTGGCATTGGATGTAGTCTCTCTCTAAAGCTATCATTCTCAAACTGTGGCTCAGGCACTACTGGTGATACTTGGGTCATCTTTAGTGGCAGTCATAAGAAATGTTTGTATCAAATGTTTGGAAGTCAAATACAGAGCTAATTAGCATCCACAAGAGGAGGCGTTCAAGAACACTGGAGTCTGCTATAAACTGACACTGCTCAAAACAGAAATGCTTCTTAAGTGCAGATTGATATGTTTGACTTTAAAGTCAGAACATGGATATGGAAACATCACCAAACCAAGATGAACTGTGTGCCAGATGCAGATGAGCAAGTACTATTAGCAACACAAGGTACTACAACTTCTTCTTTGTATTTCATGCATTCAGACACTAACACTCGGGAAGTTATTCAGTAGCTACAATGCATATATGAAGGAATTAATGAGCAGTGCAAATACAGAGTTTTAAACAAGCCATTTTGAACTATGAGGACAATGTGTGAGAATCCTTCAACTTGTCCTGCAATGCTCCCGTTTGATTTTAGAGTTTAAAACGTGGGACTTTCAAAATCTAAGTGAAAATGGGAAACAATATTGCAACACATATTTAAAAAAAACAAACAAAACAAAACATGGTGTCAGAGGATTTTACTTCACTTTACCTCAACAACCTGAAACAGTCCAAGTACATTTAAAAAAAAAAAAAGTTTTTGTCTTTCATTTTGGTTGCACTTGAATGATAAGGGCTTCAAAGTTAGTCACAACTGCTGGTGCTTGATGTGACTTAAGTTGTTTTCATAATAAATGGTTGTATCAGCCATTTTCAGGTAGAATGTAGAGTTAACCAACATTTAAAGACTGTTGCAGCACATCCCTCTGTGGTTTGGTCAGATGCCACTCAAAAGAGAGCTGGAGCGGGGCGTCAGTGGCAAACTAAGTACTAGTCGGTGTCCTTGTGGAGGACATGCAGAACAGAACAATGCACCGCTGTTAGAGTGATGCAATGTAGATGTTTTTTTTTTGATAAACAAAACAACATTTCTGAACTGCTGTAAACTGTTGCAATCAGAGACAAGTAGATGAGATAAAAACAGAGGAATTAACTTGTCACACTTTAGTAGGATTCATGTGATAAAGCAGCAGGTTAGCCTCTGCTGCCGACATGTTTTCTGAAGAAAGAACGGTTTCTGTTTGGGTTTTCTTCACCAGACCAGAGTTGGGGTTAGATCTTGCTCCAGGCTTACTGATAACACTTTTACAGAGCTGGGCTGGTCATCTGTTTTTGAAACTTAAACCACTTGATGTCTTACCACATACACATACATTTTTTAAAAAAAAAATGCAGTCGTTGACGGTTTTCTCAGATGTAGCAGGATTGGTATATTTGGGTTTACTGCAGCACAGCTTCCAGAGAAACTGTTTACGAATTAATATTTACGAAGCGTACTATTTGCTCATACGTTTTAGCACTCATAATCTGGTATGGTCTTGAATTTCACATTTTCTTTGAAAACCATCCTGCCTTTCTTTAATAACTGTTTTAATTCTCTCTGTCTCCGATATTCCTGCATGTGTCGCCATGGTTTCGCTTGTTTGACCTTCAAGATGGTGAAATGTAAAGCAGTGTAAAGCATAGGCCTAGCTCTTTGCTTATTAATCAGACACTAAACAGTAATTTACCCTGAGGGAAGTTGTGTGTGTTACAGTCTTAATCAGATAAAATCCATCAGCCGTGCAAAGAATTAGTTGATTTGGATTTTGATGTTTGGAACGGTGAGAAAAACCTTCAGCTTTTCCATTTGGACTCTCGGGTATTTCCTTTTTACTTTACTAGTTTACATATAAATGTCCATTAAAATTTTATTAATTCATATCCTTCCTGCCTTTTTGACAAATGCAACAAGATTGAAAAGCCCAGCTGCTGTTGTGCTACAGTTTTGAAATTCCCTTCATTATTGCAGTATTTAGAAAACTTAGTATTTGCTGAGGTTGTTTGTTGCAAAAGTTTGAGAACCACTGCTCAAGAGTCAAAAATTAGATTCACAGTGACTGGCAGCTGTGTGAGGATTTTTTTTTTGTTTTTTTGATTGTTGTGTGAAAGCACAGTTATTTATACAAGTGCCTTTTTTAACCTTTGTTCTCACGTTGCTTGCCTTCAGTGGTTTCTCTCCTTGTTCATCCTTCTCGCTCTTCCCTTGAGCGTCTCTCCCTGAAAGATACAAACTGACGGAAACAACTTCCATTTTAAGATCCTCCTCTGATGTCTGACTTGAGAGCATGTGATGTTTTCCTACTTTGTGCCTACTGCTGCTGCTGCTGCTGCTGCTGGGAGATCGTCGTTTTAACTGTTCCCTTCTCTCCATCTGTTCAGTTTCAAAGGTGAATTTCCACTGCCTTCCCCACCAACCTCATGAACCGATGCATCAGGAACGGAAAGGGGGAAATGTGCAGCCAATAAACGGTAAAGCTGAAAGAAAGGCCATCTGTAATCCTACTTCTAGTCCAGAACTTGAACAGTTGAAGCAGATCTGCGCACAAGAGGCTGAAAGAAACGCAGCAGAGCTACATCCTGAAACGCAGAAAGTCCAAGGAGACTCAAGGTCAGACTTGTTCATGTGTGAAACAGACAAGAACATGGAGGAACTTCACAGCAACCTCTCATCACCAGGTAACACATTATAATGATGCTGCTGTGCAGTTCCAGTCCTAGTAACATCAAGACTAAAATATCTCACTACTAATTCTATAAAAAAATGTTTAAACAAAATATAGAAATACTAATAGTTGCATTAAAATAAACACGTGCCTTAACTAGGTGAGGGCAGTTTCTTCTTGCATATTGTGAAATAATTATTTGGTTTAAATTGCAGCATTAAGTTAAAACTCACATTTCAAGATTGATGAATAAAAAAAAAAAAGTTTAGACAACTTGTCTCTTGTTGTTAAATCAACTTCATGAACTTTAATTTCTGAGTTAAAAACAAAACAATTTTCTTGTTGACTTGAATTGCATTTTCAAGGCAGTAGGGAAACTTTCATTTTCAAGTTAAACCACCTTGAAATGTTTTGCAGTGTGCTGGCCTGGGCAGAAAACAATTAAAGTTTACATCAAAAACTACCACTGTCTCTTAGGATAAGTTCATTTAAAAAAAAAAAAAAAAGCTTCAGCCGTCATTGGGATAAATGTACTAATTTGCCCAGATTCGTCAAATTATGAAATATGTGCTGAACCCCTCCAAATTAGGTATGAAGGGGCTTAAGGACAAAAAAGTCAACGTTTTTTTGAAGGCATCTTAAAGCTTCAGTCCTGTCTGTCTCATTATTCTGGGATGTATCAGATAGAAATTATTTTGATGATCCTAGCTACTTCAAACAGGAGTCATTTTGCCTTCTATGACAGGCTAATCTTAAGCTACCACAATCATGACCGCAGACTCTAATTTTAAAATTATGAGTTAACTTCTGCTCTCATCCACAGCTCTGGTGGTGCTTCTGGAGGTGTCCGCCGTCTTTCAAGTGGACGACGGCGAGGCCGTGAATCGTACTTTGTATGGCTACAGCAGTCAGAGGTCCCTGTTCCTCCGACCACCTGAAGAGGAGGAAGACCCAACGGGTGACAAGGCAAACCAGGGACAGGCTTTCTACTGCTGTCTTCCTCTCATTCAATCATCCAACTCTACCAATCAAAGCCACTGCCTCCTTTGGCTCGCCAATCAAACTGTTTTGACAGGAAATAAAACAGAAAGGCTGTCATGGAAACAGGCAGATAAAGGTTGGTGTAAGGATAAAGGGGAGTTTTTTTTTTTTTTCTCAGTTCTCCATGTGGACTCAGTGCAGCTGAGGAGAGTCAATAAGAGACAAAGAAACAAATCTATCAGTTTTCATTTCACTCCAAACTGCCCTGTCTCTCAGTCCTCTCTGGACTCATTTTTTAAATAGGACAAATTTCCTTCAATTCTCCTTGTGTTGACTTGAATCTCTGCTGTGTCTTTCCCTTCCCTTTGCACTGCTTGATCTTTCCAAGACCACACTACATCCTAATCCTCTGGATCTCTGGTATTGATTTTGGCTATCCTTCCTTGTGTGCCGCTCTGCAGTGCTCCCCATACTTAAAGCCTGAGCCATGTCATATTTTCCAGAGTGGAAGAGGAAAATTGGATGTGGTTTAAGATAGCATTTTTTTTCCTTCTCCTTCCATCAAGCTTTTCCATAACCCCAACACGTTTCATTTTCATTTTTCATGTCTGATTTTTGTATATGTGCGATTCTTTTCACTCCATGCATGTGTATTAAGTATATTCTGTAAACCAACCAATTATCTAAAAGTCCCTGTTTGCCCTCCAGGATGGTGCAACTACAGGTGGGCCTTTATGGTTCTGCTGTGTGTGGTGTGCCTGATTGTTGTTACAACTGTGATTACAAAGATCTGTCTGGAGACACGCTTAAACAGTAAGAAAGGAAAACACACACATGAAATGACCTTACATTTTTGATGAAAGCAGACAAAATAAGCTATGTTCTTCCACAGATAAAAATATTGTGCATCACATTGAGTACCAGCCTCCCAATCAGCAGCTAAAAGGTAAAGAAACCTACCTACCTAGGTATCTAGCTAGCTAGGTAGCTAGGTAGCTAGATATTACATTTAGATACTACAAAAAATGCAGTATCTATTACAGATTTTCTAAGTTGCTCTGGTGCATTTTTCAGAAAACAGCAGTTATTCTATACTAGCTAGCTAGACTATCTCTCCCAGCTAGCTAGTCTGGTAAACTAGACTAGCTTTGTTTCTCAAACAAGTTGTTTTATAAAAAGCAAACTTTCCAAAATATGAATTTGTTTTGATGTTGCTTTATTGGACAGAGAGCAGTCAGTGTCATATGTTTACACCAAAGTGTTTTTCTAACAAATATATTATCCAACAGAAACACCGTCCCGTTTAAATCGACATCAGTCTTGGCCTGGTAAGTTCTAACAAATATGCAGCATCTATTACAGTTTCTCTAAATTGCTTTGGTGCATTTTTCAGACAAGAATTAAAATTCTCAAAACTACTTGTTTAATCTTCAGCCTGTATTTTATTGTGTCTATTGAGCTATTCTAACAAATGTATTATCCAACAGAAACAAGGTACCATTTGAATCGGGTTCAGTCTTGGGCTGGTAAGTTCTAACAAAAATGCAGCTTATATGAAAAGTAATTTTCAAGGTTGTGTAGTCATTTGATGCCTCGTTGTCTTTTTATGTCAGGACTTCCGCCCATTCTAGAAATTGAAAGCAGAGGTAAGGAAACATCCTAGGGATGCTCATACTTTTAATTGAATCATAATACAGCCGTCTCTCAAAACACAACAATGTAAATGGAGCATTGTTTAAAAAACCTGTTTATATTGGGGTTGGAAGGTCTCACCATAGGTCTAGTTAAAGTCAGGATTAGGGGTGATTCTAATATTCTTTTCAAAAGGAAAAAAAAGTGTTTGTAAAAACAAAGAATACTTTGGACATTACTTTTGTTGTTAAAAAGTCCTCATTTTAAAAATAACTTACTAACAACATCTTAAATGACAGCTAGTGTACAGTTATTGAAATGACCATTACAGTTAATTTAAAAAAAACATGATTTCTTCTAGAGAACATCGAAACTTTGCTGAATGGAAATCCCCTTAGCTGCTATCCAGGTAACTACAATACCATCATAGTTTTTTTTTCTGCAAATGTCACAATTTCAACATGCATTATCTTATAGTTTGGTTTCACTGATAACCATAGGGAAAAAAAAAACACTTTCAAAAATCTTTTTGCAATGATAGCATGTGCTAAAGCTGCAAATCAATCACACTTGATTGTTTCTCTCAGGAAAGAATAAAAATGTAAATGTGATGAAAGTAAAATCCAATCTTAACATGTCAATCAAGTATTGATTATAAGCTGTGTGTTGGTAAAACTTTCAGAAAACCCTTCATCATCGCTGCCATCCTCCTACCTCCTCCCTCACAGAAGAACAGCCGTTCTGACAGACGTGCAACAAAAGGAGCACAGAAATTGTCTTAAGGCACACTAAGGCAAGAAAACAAGGAAACTCCATCACCTCAAGACACACAATACAGCATCAAAGATCAGCACCGTTTATTATTAAAACCTCCCCAGTGAAGTTTGATGGATTTTACAAGCTATTCTTTGGACATGCCAATGGTTAAGAGACACTTTGAGTACAGATTTTGGTGCTTCAGATTCACCATCTGAAAGCAGACTAATGCTGCTTCACCAACAACACTTTTTATAATCCTTCATCCCACTCAGGCAGTTTGTGCCTGTTTGGAGTTATCTGCAAGTTTTTCAGAGGTAACAACAAATCTTCCTGCTAAATTAGAAACCATTATGCTTTAGCATGCTCCCTGTTCTTAGTTGATCCTGAGGAAAGACAGAAATTCATTGTCCAGGTTAGCCTTAACTCTAATATATGAAAGATACATTCTCTACTCTTTTCCTTTCTGTATTTTTTTAGTGAGTAAAAGTCCAGGATGAGCCACCATATATTCATAAAACCACTCAATGAAGAAAAGCATAGTTTCATTTGTTGCCATTCCTCCATCACCAAAAGCTAAAATGGACAAATTTTGTGTAAGAATTAAAATTAAACTGCTAGTTTAGCTTCCACTATTTTTGCTTGTCCTAGTAGCAGTTTCTCATTTCTTATGACTCTTTACAAATCCTTGTGGACGTGCATTAATTTCTTCCATACAATTCTCTGCTGTTTTATAACATTACTTGCTTGTGTCATGTCAGTCAAAAGGAACTATACTTTTGAATGCTGAATAACAATTCCCCATAAAACTAACAGGCTTCATTTCATTGCTTGAGTCAGTAGAAACAAAAATGTCGCAGAAGTTGTCAAAATGCATTTGTTTCTTGCATTTCTTTACTATTCTTTCCTGAAAATGTCTCCAAAACTGAACAACTTCTCTCAGGTGAATCTCAGCTTCCACTCTTGATATTATTGAAAGTAGTGCACAGCTTTACACAACGTGTGTTTGTTGTAAATATGTTTGTACTTTGCCTTCGACCAATGCTGTGAACAAATTTGAACTGCAAAGAGCGAATGCAGTGAAACATACTGTACATATTCAGCATCTTGTACTCATTTGCCTCACTAATTACAGTAATGTGGAACTGAGCTGTAGATTTCAAATGGCTAAGCAAATACCACATGGTGCTTTCTTTGAGAAGTTTCAGGGAGTGTTGCCAGCATGGGACTTTTTCTGCATTAGAAACACTTTATAATGGAAACGGGACGCAGACGTTTAACCGTGTTGTCAGGACTTTTCATTCTGATGACACCAACACTTTCCTTGACATAAGCACTTGTTCTTGAGGAATGAACTCCATACTTGAACTATCCATTTTGAGCAAGTGACACATTTTTGCAGATTATCGACTGGGTTTGCAGTTTGGACTAATTGTTTTGAGAAATGCAGTAACTTGTGCAAATGTTAATAATGTTACAGAAATAGCAACTGATCTATTTTTCATCCATTAAAACATTATTCATCAATAAATAGTTTGCTTATTTTTTTTCATGAGCAGCAGAAGCACTTTTACCACATGAATGAGTCAAAATAACCTGCTGCACCACTAAAAATATAATAAATAACTCACATGGAAAGAGTAGAGAACAAATAGTAGGAATTTGCTGCAGATGTTTATAGTTGCAATCTTGGCTGCACTATAGCATGACTGTAGTAGCAGCAGCAGACAAACTTTAGTAAACCAGATGCTGAACAATCCGTGTTTTGAATATGCAAGTAGCCAATTCCCCAGCAGACATTTAACAAGGACTGCATACCAGTTCTGCATCTGTGAATATAGACTTATGTGCAAAGCAAGTGGACATTTGAGTCAACCAAACATAAATCTCACCAGCCACTCTTTGTTTCAAACACAGTCTTGCATAATACTCATCTAGATCTAGGTTATTAAAACCCCTTAACCCTCACCCCTGAAAAATACAATGGAAACACGGCACATGGGCGTTCCGTTGCAGGTTAAGGGGTTATAAACACATTCATGTACTAAAAAATGCATCAGCTTATTTATCTTTGTCGATAAGTATTCCAACAATATGCAACATATTTGAAAATTAATCTTTAAATATGCTAAAATCTCACATATAATTTTAATCAATAATGCATTATTCTCTGAGGATTTTATATCACACTATATTGTGTTTTGTATCATTTGTATGATTTGTTTTCTTACTTAAGTTGCGTTAGATGTCCCTCTGTTTGCTTATGCTGAGCAGGTCCAGGTCCATTTTTAATCAGGATTATTGGTTATTTCTGTCAAAAACAGTTCTCAGTGATGTTAACACATTTTTTTATTTGCAGCAGCACCAAAACATAATACAATAAACATTTAGAGTCTTTTTTTTAAACATTCAGTGGATATAATATGGGAAACCAAGCATAACTGTTAACAAAACTCAAGGTAGTGTTGCTTCACATATAATTTAACAGAGAAACAAAAAGGCAGCACGACAAATATAATGTAAATTTTCAATACTGCTAATCTTTAGTTTCAATCAAGAGGAAAATAGTTAAGGTTTACTTCTCTATTCATGTCTTTTTCTATAAATGTGACTATTGTGAAGATTGATCGAGATTAATGGAAATCACCTTTCTTCTGAATGGTTTATAATGTTAAGCTTTTACACAGATGCACCTGATTTTTTTTATTATTCATTTAATTTTTTTTACTGCAGTAGGGGAAACCCATCTTCCAAAGATTCAGTAGAGACACGGGAACAAAAAGCTAATTCTTTTGTACAATAGTGTTAAAATTAGAAAATGATCACTCCACAATCAGAGCATTGTGTTCATGTATTTACCAATTTCCTTTGTGCCTGTTGTCCTTTGCTTTATTCTTGTTTTAATTAACCAATTCTGCATTCTGATTAATTACAGCCTGCACAAGCACAAGCTGTAGGCTGTACTTTACTGCAAAAGCACATTTTATACATATAGTAAACTTAAACAAAGAGAAAAGTGTGATCTGTGTGCAGGGAAAACCAGAGCAGGACTTCATCTATGGTAACACTGCTGCTAACTGGTCTTCACTGAGCTTAAAAGCATTTTATCAGCATAACAGGTTGCTTTATTAAATAAGAAGTGGATAAACACATCTGGGTCATTGTTGTACGTTATTAGTCCATTTATCTGCTTCCTTTAGAAACTTTAATTCTCCCACCAACGCATCTCCTGCTTTATGGCACATAAAAGCACTGCGCTTTACTTTACAACTGTACATTAAGGCAAGCAGGTGCACTGAGGGTGTCAGTGCTGCGGCTGTGCTGCTGGCTCTGCAGCAGCTTGGCGGTGCTGGCTGTGGATGTGGGAGATCTGCAGGACTGGCAGCAGCAGCTGAAATGCATTATGGATGTAGTTGGTGCTGTTGGTCCCCTGCAGAGACGAGACAAGATTCTTTTTATACTTCACCACCATCAATCAGAAAGAGCTCTAAATGCAGCAAAAAGGGGAAAACCTAAAAGAGCGCTGGTATAGGATTAGGAAGGATGCAAAGTGCAAATAAAATGCATAAAACAGATCCTGCGTTTGTTTATTTAGGCAATGACTGAAGTAAAAGAAAATCCGATAGGTCCAAAAGTTCTTGATCTAATATGTGTTAATGTATTTTCGTTCAGCATGAACAGGATTACAGTATAAACCCGTCTTATTTAAGCCTCTTTAAAGCTATATTCTTAAAAGCAGATTATATTGGCAATAGTAAAAAAAAAACCTGACTAGTTTTCCCCCTTTTTTCACGATTTAGTTGAAATTAGGGTAAAATCCCTTTTCACAGCTGGATTTTGGAAATGTCTGTGAGAAAATGGATTATACAAACACAAACTCTTGCAGTCAAACTTCAGTGTTTGGTGCGTAAGTTCATAATAGCACATGAAAAATGAACTGAGCAGATCAGTATGGAAAAATCCCTGTTTATTTTCCGACAATCCTTCTTGTCATGTCTGCAGATCAGCCTCAGATGAACGGTGAAGAGCCATAGAGCTTCAGCATAATTTTATCATGAGTCATGAGTTTGAAGCAGCACAGACACAAAGTCTCAGTAGCTCCACGCCAGCAGCAGCCACCTTTGTTTCAAATCAGCTCTATAAACCTTCAGCTTTATTGAGAGGTGTCATCTTCTATCAGATGTCGCGCGCCTAAGCCTGTGACCGATTTGGTTTTTATTGAAACTGCTAAGAAAGCAGGTCTCACCTCCTGCAGGACGCTGTCTACAAGTGGATTCAACTCTTCTGCTTTCCTTTGTGGCTGAAAGAAAAACAGCAAAGCAGATGAGATTACAAGACTGATAAATCAAGCAATCCTCACGCTGTCTCCAGGGTATTTTGTATGTTCTTTGTACGGATGCAAAACAAGAGAACAGAAACAAAGACGGTAATTCTGATCTGTTTATGGATAACTGGGAGAGTCATGAACCTAAATGATAACTTTGAGCCATTCTTTTTTTAATGAAGCCTGATTATGCAACAAATTCCAATTATTTTCAAAGAGTACACAAGTTTGAGTTTATTTTAAATTTTTTCTAATCCACATGCTCGAAATTACACATACAGGTGCAAAAATATGCATATGGCAAAAATATGCATATGGCATAATTTGACCATTTTTACTGGAAGAACCGGTAGAGCTCATTTGAATTTGTCGGCTTATTGATGGTGAGTCAGCTTTTACGTCTACTGTGGTCTTGTGGTCAAGATGCTTTCCTGCTCAGTCAAACCACATTAAAACCAGTTTTGATGCGTGATTGGCATCCTTGTTGAGTCGTATTCAAGTTTCAAGAATCTGAAGCAAACAGCCACCTCCAGTAAAAAGAAATTGGTCAGAGCGCATAAGAAGTATCTCAGAAACCACTGAGGCTCAAGCCTATCATAAATTAATTACTCCTGGAACTGCATCATCAATGCCCTCAGTGAACCAAGTTTGTCCTTGGCATGTACCTCTGCAGGCCTATAAGTAACAATGACAAAAGTCCAATCCAAACACAAAGTCCCACTTACCCCAACTAGAAGAAGCGTACCAGAGAACCGCTTGGTCAAGCAATCTACCTCCTTACACATGGCACATGTCAACCTGGAATAGG